AACAAAACAAAACAAAACAAAACAAAACAAAACAAAACAAAACAAAAAAACTAGGGTGCCTGGTGGCTCAGTTGGTTAAGTGTCCAATTCTTGATTTTGGCCCAGGTCATGATTTCACTGTTCATGGGTTCAAGTCCCACATCCAGATCCACACTCACAATGCATTGGCTGCTTGGGATCCTCTCTCTCCCTTTCTCTCTGCCCCTTCTGCGTGCTCTCTCTCTCTCTCAAAATAAATAAATAAACTTAAAAATTTTTTTAAGTATATATCAGAATGGGAGGGGTACCTGGGTGGCTCAGTCAGCTGAGCAACCAACTCTTGATTTCGGTTCAGGTCATGATCCCAGGGTCGTGGGGTCGAGCCTTGCATTGGACTCGCACTGAGCGTGGAGCCTGCTTGGGATTCTCTCTCTCTCTGCCCCCCTCCCCCACTTGTGTTCTCTGTCTCCCTCTCAAAATCAATCAATCAATCAATCAATCAATCAATCAACAAACAAACAAAAAACTACCAGAACAGGGCACCTGGGTGGCTCAGTCCATTAAGTGTCTGACTCTCGATTTCAGCTCAGGTCATGATCTCACAGTTTGTGGGTTCAAGCTCCACATCAGGCTCCATGCTGACAGCTTGGAGCCTGCTTAGGATTCTCTCTCTCCCTCTCTCTCTCTCTCTCTCTGCCCCTCCCCCACTCACGCTCTCTCTTTTTTTCTCTCCCTCTCAAAATAAATAAATAAACGTAGAACAAGAGAGATGAAAACAGTTGTGGGTTTGTTGCATTTAGGAAAATTATAGATGTAATAACTTAAGAAGACATGGGGCACGTATGAGAATTGTGTTTTTTTTTCTTACAGGGGATCCCTACACTTCTCTGGACTAGATGTTTGTCTGTTTGTGGTATCGGCACTGATGTTCTGTGAATCAGTGAAGAGTCCTTGATCCCCATGTTACCACATCCCACCCCTGCTTAAAATCTTACCATAGCTCCCCAGTGCCCTCACAACCTACACGGCGGCCTAGAAGGCCCCTCAGGATCTGACTCCAGCTGCTTCCTTTAGCATTGCATTAGTCACCACTGCATTCTACCCACTCCCAACTTTTGGAAGGGTTGCATATGCTGTTTCCTCTGCCTGGAATATTCTTCTGCTCTCCACCCCAGGGTTCACTCTTCTTCATCCTTCCGGGCTCAGCTTAGGCATCTCCTCCTCCAAGAAGCACTCTGCCTCTCTGGACTGAATCAGGCACCTCATCTGAGCTCCAATAGTCCCTGGGCTTCCCCATCCCAGCCCCCTGCCTGTGCCTCACCATCCTGGCCCTGACCACTCGCTCTTTGGGCTGGCTCAGTTACCATCATGTCCCTCAGATTGTCCAGCATAGGTCAGGCACAGGGGAGGCACTGGATATTTTGTGGATGAAATAATCTAGAATTCTAAGTTGATGTGATCCCAAGTTTTTAAGGTTCTAAGAGGCTAAAAGTATGATTTTAAGTTTCCACGAGTATATTTTATACCATTCTAGTTTCTTTTTCTTTTTATTTTTTTACATGTATTCATTTTTGAGAGACAGAGAAAGAGCACAAGCGGGGGAGAGGCAGAGAGAGAGGAAAACAAAGAATCCGAAGCAGGCTCCAGGCTCCGAGCTGTCAGCACAGAGCCCGAGGCAGGGCTCGAATTCACAAACTGCGAGATCATGACCTGAGCCGATGTCAAACACTTAACCCATTGAGCCACCCAGGCGCCCCTCTAGTTTCTTTTTTTTCTTTTAAGTTTATTTATTTATTTTGAGAGAGAGAGAGAAAAAGCATGAGTGGGGGAGGGGCAGAGAGGAGAGAGTTGAGAGAGAGAGAGAGAGAGAGAGAGAGAGAATCCCAAGCAGGCTCCTCACTGTCAGTGCCAGTGCAGAGCCTGATTCGGGGCTCAAACTCATGAACTGTGAGATCATGACCTGAGCCGAAGTCAGATGCTCAACCGACTGAGCCACCCAGGCGACCCCATTCTAGTTTCTAAATCAGAGGAAGCTGGCCATCCATTAGTTAATTCTCATTCACACTTTTGTGGCACATATAGATTTTTTTTTAATTGGGAAGCTGTACAAAAACATCAGAGCTAGGGGCACCTGGGTGTCTCAGTCAGCTGAACGTCCGACTTCGGCTTAGGTCATGATCTTGCAATCCATGAGTTCAAGCCCCGCGTCGGGCTCTGTGCTGACAGCTCAGAACCTTGAGCCTGCTTCAGATTCTGTGTCTCCCTCTCTCTCTGCCCCTGCCCCGCTCACGCTGTGTGTGTCTCTCTCTCAATCAAAAATAAATAACATTTAGGGGCGCCTGGGTGGTTCAGTCGGTTGAGTGTCCGACTTCGGCTCAGGGAATGATCTCACAGTTCATGGGTTCAAGCCCTGCGTCGGGCTCTGCGCTGACAGGTCAGAGCCTGGAACCTGCTCTGGATTCTGTGTCTCCCTCTCTCTCTGCCCCTCCCCCGCTCGTGCTCTGTCACTCTCTCTCTCTCTCAAAAATAAATAAACATTACAAATTTTAAAAATAAATAAATAAATAACATTTAAAAAAAAATCAGAGCTAGCAAATTTGGGCCCACAGTTCCCATGGCTGGAGCTGGTGACCAGGGTATTGTTCCCCAGTTGACCATGGCCCCCAGTCTACTCTCTCATTTATGTCACCTGTTTCTGGGAGGCCCTTAGGTTTGACACCAGTCTTCAACATCTTATAATTATAAAGTTTCAACAATCTTAGTATCAAAGATCCCATGATGGATATGTTGAGTTACTAAAATTCTGAGATTCTGAGGGAACGGATTCCGACCTTAGGGTTTTAAGATTTCATGATTACTACAGTCTTAGTTTATGTTTACAACATTCCGCATTTCTGAGATAAGAAGGTCCCAAGGGTCAAAGGTACTAAGGGTCTAATGTTTTAAAGACTTAGGGCTCATGGTTATGAAGTTACATGTCTCTGAAGGTTCTCAGGGTCTTTGCTCATAGCTTTTTTTCTTTGTTTATTTGTTTAGGTTTATTTTGAGAGAGAGAGCTAGAGAGAGCACACACAGTCATGTGCGAATGAGCGGGGGAGGAGCAGAGAGAGAGGGAGAGAGAATCCCAAGCAGGCTCTGTGCTCTGAAGGGCAAGATCATGACCTGAGCTGAAATCGAGAGTCAAATGCTCAACAGACTGAACCACCCAGGCACCACTGTTTGTTTGTTTGTTTGTTTGTTTTGAAGTAGGCGCCATGCCCCAGTGAAGTAGGGGCCCAATGCAGCTCCCCTGCCTCCCCCGAACTCACAACCCTGAGATAGAGACCTAAGCTGAGGATCAAGAGTGAGACACTCAACCGACTGAGCTACCCAGGAGCCCTTGCTCCTAGTTTTAGTGCTGATGATTAAATAACTTCTGAGGTTCTAAAGCCCTCTCTGAATATGAAGTCCTAAGGCTCAAGGGTCTACAATTCCAAAGGTCTTAGGTTCTAAGATTCTATCACTATATGGTTCAGGTCATGATCTCAAGGTTTGTGAGTTCAAGCCCCACGTCGGCCTCTGTGCTGACAGCTCAGAGCTTGGACCCTACTTCGGATTCTGTGTCTCCCTCTCTCTCTTCCCTTCCCCCACTCATGTTCTGTCTCTCCCTCTCTCTCTTTCTCAAAAATAAATACACATTAAAAATTTACAAAAAACAAAAACATCAACGTAGGGTGACCGACCATCCTGGTTGGCCCCAGGGTTTCAGAGGGTTTCAGTGCTAAAAACTGGAAGTGTGGTCATTCTATCTCAAAATTCTCGGGATCCACATTTCTATTCTGAAATTCTAAAGGTTTAGGATTATAAAGCCCTAAGGATCTATGTGTATTAGAGTTTAAGTTTCTAAGGGTCTAAGATCCAAGGAGGTCAATGATTAAAATTTCTAAGGTCTATGATTATAAAGTTCTGTGTTCTAAGAGTCTTATTTCTAGAGGCCTCAACTTCAAATAATCTTGGAATATGACATTCCAAGGTCCAAAAATCCAATATTTCAGCATCTTGAGATTCTAAAGAAGTACGCTTATAAAATCCCACATTTCTTTTTTTATTTAAAAACATTTTAATGTTTATTTTTATAGAGAGAGGGAGAGCATGAGAAGGGGGGCAGAGAGAGATGGAGACACAGAATCCGAAGCAGACTCCAGGCTCCGAGCTATCAGCACAGAGCCTGACGTGGGGCTCGAACTCACAAACTGTGAGATCTTGACCTGAGCTGAGGTCCGACGCTCAACCAAACTGAGCCACCCAGGCGCCCCAAAAATCCCACATTTCTGAGACTATACATTTTCAAGGTTGTAAGGCAGCACTGCCCCATACAGTATCCACAATCCACATACGGCTACTTAAATTTAAATTAATTAAAACTGAATACAATGAAAAATTCGGTCCCTCACGAAGCACTGGCCATATTTCAAGCGCTTACAGCCAAAAGTACTAGTGGTTAGTGGTTAGTACATTGGACATCACAGATAAAGAACATTTTCCCACCACTGTGGAAAGTTCCATTGGACAGCGTTGGTCTACAGGTTCAAGTGAAAAGGGTCTGAAACTCTCTTCCCATCCTCCAGGCCATCCAGGTTCTCAAGCTCTGAGGTACACAGATAATCTCCACCCCAACAACCTCCTCCCTTTCCTCCTTCCCTCCTCCCACCCCAGCCCTCTTCCAGGTACCTGCCAAGGCCTTGATCCTGGAGCACTCAAAGAGGGAGGCGGCTGCCGTGGCGACTGCTGGCTGCTCCCGTTCCCAGCCCCGATCCGGACTCTCCCAGCGGGCTGCAGGATTGTTGTTGTTAGGGGCTGGCAGGCCCTCCATGTTGTCCACTTCCCCTGGTACCTGTGCCATCGGGGAAGGTGAGGCCTGGGGAGGAGCAGAGGCAGGTTAGGCTAGACACAGGTCCGGAGCTCAGAGGTCCCTCTTCTAACAGCCGCTGTCTGTGAGTCCTGTCCACTCCCTCGCCCTCAGTTTCCCTGTCTTTAAAGTGCACCTAATAACTACCGACAATAATATTCACTGTGACCACTTCATAGGGGTGTGATAAAGCACCCAGCTCAGCACCTGGAGCAGGGCGGGGGCTGGGCAAATTGTCCCTATATTATTGTTAGAAGGATGACACTTATCAGTAGAACGCTAAAACGCAGTGAAGGGGCTCTTGAGGGGTTCAGTCGGTTAAGTGTTGGACTTCGGCTCAGGTCATGATCTCACAGTTCGTAGGAGCCCCACATCGGGCTCTGTGCTGTCAGCACAGAGCCTGCTTGGGATTCTCTTTCTCTTCCTCTCTCTGCCCCTCCCCTGCTTGCATGCACGCTCTCTCTCTCTCAAAATAAATAAATAAACGTTAAAAAAAAAAAAAAAAAAGACATTGGGGCACCTGGGTGGCTCAGTGGGTTAAGTGTCCGACTCTTGATTTTGGCTCAGGTCATGATCTCACAGTTCATGAGTCCGAGCTCCACATCGAACTGTCAGTGCAGAGCCTGCTTGGGATTCTCTCTCTGTCTCTCTCTCTGTCCCTCAAAAATATATAAATAAACTTTATTATTTTTTCTAACTTTTTTTTTAAACATTTATTTATTTTTGAGACAGAGAGAGACAGAGCATGAATGGGGGAGGGTCAGAGAGAGAGGGAGACACAGAATCTGAAACAGGCTCCAGGCTCTGAGCTGTCAGCACAGAGCCCGATGCGGGGCTCGAACTCACGGACCACGAGATCATGACCTGAGCTGAAGTCGGCCGCTTAACCGACTGAGCCACCCAGGTGCCCCTATAAATAAACTTTAAAAAATATAATGTTTATTTATTTTTGTTGAGAGAGAGACAGACAGACAGAGTGTGAGCAGGGGAGGGGCAGAGAGAGAAGGAGACACAGAATCTAAAGCAGGCTCCAGGCTGTGAGCTGTCAGCACAGACCCTGATGTGGGGCTTGAACTCACCAACTAGGAGATCATGACCTGAGCCAAAGTCGGATGCTTAACAGATTGAGCCACCCAGGTGCCCCAAACTTTAAAGGATTAAAAAAAAAAAGACATTATAGAGGAGGAAACTAAGGTCCAAGGTTGCAAAGTTAGTGGGTAGCCAGAGTTCAAACACAGGTACTACATTTGCATTAAATGGCCCCAATTCTTCATCCTTATAACCACATCCTTTGCCATAGAACTCTGGAGAGTTCTATGTAGGGAGGGGAAAAGTGGAAGAGTGTCCCCTCACAACCTTGACTTCCGGTTTGGGCACATGACTAGCTTTGACCAACAGAATTAAGTGGAAGGGCTGTTGAATTCTAAGCCTAAAACTCAAAGGACTTTGCATGTTTTTGTTTGTGCTTGATTGCGACTGTGAGAAAAACACTCTCAGGGTAGGCTGGGCCTAAGGCCCCAGTCACTAAAGCCAAGGCCGGCTAAAGCAGCCAATAGTCAGCACTGCTCCCCACCCCACATCCCAACACTGAGCTCCACTGAGACCAGAAAAACTGTCCAGCTGAGCCCAGCCTAAGTCCCTGACCTCAGACTTAATGGGTAAATAAAGGCGCCATGTTTTCAAACACTGAGTTTGGGGTGGTTTCTTATGCAGCATTATTGTGGCAACAGCTAGCTGACATATTGTCTGATCCAGAGCTATGCTCTAGAACACTTGCCAGATTGCAAATATGAAACTAAAGAGGGTGGGAGGCATTCGGATACCTCCCCTCCTCCCTCTGGGCCCCCAGGCCTGATTCCGAGACTACAAAAGGAAGGAACTGTGAGGAGATCAATGTCCTTCTCAAAGACCCAAACAGCTGACAACACACCAGACTGTAAGAAAGCAGGGTCTGGGTGTTGGTCAGTGTAGCGGAGATTGTCCCTTCGAGTGGACACTCCAAAATCCACTGTTATTCTTCTCTCCTTCTACAGAAAGCTATAAGTAGGCACATGGCTACTTACCACCTGTGTGACCTTGGCCAGTCACTTCCTCTTTCTGGGCCTCAGTCTGTTCATCTGTAAAATGGTAATAATGGTGCCCATATTCTAGGGATGTTTGTAGATGAAATGAGTTAATAGTGCAGGAAATATTGTATCTAGTACATGCAAGCCCTTGATACATGGTCCTTGTTATCATTATTCATCCTCTCTGGTCACATATCTTAGCATATCAAAGTGCCTGTGCTGGAGTCAGAGAGAAAGGAGTTCAAGCCCTGCTTTATTCTTGCTGCATCTTTAACCCATCTTTAACTTGGCCTCCC